GATCATATAATTGTGAATGTATATATGAAATTGATAAAATAAAATAAATTTATTAAAAAAAAAGAATAATCCTAGCGAAAGGCATTTCTTTGATTGATTAAAAAAGACAATAACAAAAAGATCTTTATTGATACCAGGTTTCTAGATTTCTCCTTAGTTCTCGGTTGCTTCTCTCGTTGGTTAGTTTCCATCCGTGGCTTCTTCTTCTGCCTTCAAGTGCTTTGGAAAATAGCTTGACCCCCCCTCTTCTTTGTGACAAGCCCGGAGATATCGGAACATGCTATCATGTCACCCCATAATCCTTCTTTTCATTAAACGAAACAAACTCAGTTCCTGCAATCGTTCTTCATATGTTTTAGCCCCCAGGGCCCTGATGATAGAAAAATAAAATATGCTGACTTTACAATTTGCAATTACAAAGGAGCAAGGAACAATATTATATTCATGGCTTCCTCCATGCCTTAGAGAATTTGTATCCGTCCAGCAGCTTATGCAGTTCCTGCAAATATTAGAAATAAAATATACAGCGTTAAGAGTCCTTCTGGCGTGTTCCAACGAATAAATCCTGGGCCTTATGAAATGAGATGAACTTGAAAAAAATGACATCCCTCCTTGCAATAGCCAAGTCTTCCAGAGAGATCCCACAAGTGTGTGCATTGTGACTGTGTGTCGAATTATTCCCTATCTGCTTTCCTGGCAAGCGTCTCTCAATAACTTTACTGACAGCTTGCAAACTTCTAGGGCAAATCCAGGGACCAGGGGTGGGCTTCAAAAATTCCAGCAATGCGTTCTCTGCCCAGTTGCTGGGTGGGGTGATGGGCATGGCCTAGTTGGCCTTTTGCACCACAGCCGGGGGGCATTTTCACCTTCCCCAGGTTCCGGAGGCTTTCATCAAGCCTCTGGGGGTGTGAAAACTCCCACCCCTGGGCTCCAGAGGCCTTCCGGGAGACCCGTTTCTCCCCCTCCTGAGCCTCCGTGTGGGCCCTGCATTTACCTCACATCCAAAACGGGCCGCGTGGAGACTCCTGGGAGGGGTGGGGTCGGGGTGGAGCGGGCGGGGCCAGCCAGGAGTGGGATTTGGAGGTTCTCCAAACTGCCCATAATGTCAACTACGGGTTCTCCCAAACCCAGGGGGAACCTGTAGCAGCCCCCCACCCCACCCCCTGCCAGGGACAATGATCTAATGGAGATTTTAGCCATTCTTGGATGTGGATTAAGAAAGTCCAGCAAAACTATCATTACAAAAAAGAAGTTTAGACTTGTAGGGGGGGGGAGTGCAGAGAAGAGCAACTAAGATGATTAAAGAGACAAAAACATATGAAGAACAGCTGCAGGGATTGGTTGTGTCTAGTCTAGAGAATAGAAGAATTAGGGGTGACATGATAGCAGTATCCCAGTATTTGAGAGGCTGCCACAAAGAGGAGGGGGTCAATTTATTTTCCAAAGCATGGGAAGGCAGGACAAGAAACAACGGATGGAAACTAATCAAGGAGAGAAGCAACATGGAATGAAGGAGAATTTCCTAACGGTGAGAACAATTAACCAGTGGAACAGAAGTTGCCTCCAGAAGTTGTGGGTGCACCATCACTGGGGGTTTTTAAGAAGAGACTGGACAGTAGCTTGTCTGAAATGGTATAGGATCTCTTGCTTGAGCAGGGAGGCTGGTCTAGGAGACCTCCAAGGTCCCTTCCAGCTCTATTCTGATTAATTGATTGATATTGATTGACTGATTTGATGGGTTTTTCTGAAACTGTGAGTGAAGGTTCAGGAGCACACTTTACGTTCCAGTTAAGACTTATTGCTCACGCCTACAAGCAAGAATCTAGTCATCTAAAGTCATCAGCATTAAATTGGTGCTAAAGAAGAGTTAACACTTCAAGAGAGGTCTGAATTTGGACAGTTTGTGAACATGTAATGATTCTAGGCTGACTTCTCTCTTGACTCCATTCCAGGAATGGGTTTCAAAATTTTTAGAACCTATTCTGTAGGTGTGGCCTGTTTTGTGGGAGTGGCTCGGTGGTCATGTGACTGGGTGGGTGTGGCTTGGTGGNATGGATGATGGATGATGGATGATGGATGATGGACTCCCACAAAGGAGGCCACACCCACAGAGTAGGTTCCAACAATTTTTGAAACCCACCACTGAGGGTGGGGGAAAAGAGTACAAGGCAAACAATCCTAGACCCCCCAAAAACCCTACATACAGGCCCATTGGAGAAACAATCTCAAGGAATAATTACTTTGGACTATTGTATTTCTATTATTCCATTATAAAATGCAGTGTCTCCAGATCTAAATGGAATAAAACTATATCCATTGAGGATGACAAATTGGATAACGTCCCTTTGCATTTCAAATATGATATTTCCTTATTAGGATTATGTTTACACCCAGGGAAGAATGCTGTTAATTAATGCCTCCTTCTTCATGGATATTGGTTTCTGAACAGATTCGTTTTGTTCCCCTTGCTAAACAGGTTCTTTTCAAAACTCCGTTTAAGTAGCCCTAATGTAATTTTATAGATAATTGCACTTTGTTTTGTGCATTGTATCTTCTATTACACATATTCATCCATAATTAATCCAATACAATGCTGTAAATTACTCGGCTTCTGTCTCATACTTGGTAAGGACTCATAATTCTTTTTTGGCTCCACGAAATTTTTAAAGTTTTTTTCCAAAAAGATCAAAATATAATACGCCAAAATAGATAAGATAAACTTTGTCATTTTTTTCTTCTTGCGGGCACACTGGAACATATTGAAAACGAAGTTCAGTTGCCTGCTCTAAAAAAAATATTAAAAAAGAAAAGAACATAACAAAAATTTAAAAACTGGTGTCTTTTTAAAATAACACATATACACAGAACATCCTTCCTAGTTGCTTACAAATTGTTATTTATGTTAATAACAAAATGGTTAGCAGAAAAAAAACAATAACAGTGAGTATGTAAATAAATAAAAGTAATAAAAATTGTGAACAGTAATAAAAGAAAGACAAATTTGACACTCCAAAGCCCTCTGTTAACAAACTGTTATTGTAATCAATTCGCAGAAAATTTACTGTGGCTTCAAACTTTGATCATCCCAAATATTAACCCTAATTAGTCCCAGATCAAATATCCAGTCTTGTTTCTTTATGCCATCTCTTATCAATTGCTGATTGATTGAATACAGTAAGTCCCATCTCTAAAGCCAATCTATCTCTCCCCCCTCAAATCCAAATAAAATATTTCCTCAATTAGAGGTATTAAATCCATTTCCCATTCTCCATCAAGGATTCACAGTTTTCATAATAGATTTGGCCTTTTTGACTTGGGAGCCAGAATAATCCTAGCGAAGGAGAGAAGAAAGAGAAGAAAGGGGGGTAGGAAGGAGGGAGGGAAGCAAGGTGGGAAGGAAGGAGGGAAGGAAGAAGAGAAGGAGAGAAGAAAGGAGGGAAGGGAGCAGGGAAGGAAGAAGAGAAGGAGAGAAGAAAGGAGGGA